TGCAGAGAGGGGGGTCAGAGGAAAACTAACAATATTAAAGGAAACAAATTCTGACATTTATGTACTGCTGCAAACATCACAACTCCATTATAGAAAGCAGCCCACTTCAAAAGAGTAAAACACTACAGGGCTCCCTCGAGGTTCTGTAGTTTCCTTAAATTACTCAGGCAGGAAGTGGTGGGCCTCAGATGTGAGCCCAGGTGGTTGGCCTCTATGTTTCCCTCTCTCTCTCTCTCTCTCAATTGATTTCAGAGACGAAGGGAGAGGGAGAGAGGAATAGAAACATCAATGATGAGAAAGAATCACTGATCAGCTGTCTTCTGCACTGCCCCTGCTGGGGGTCCAGCCCAAAACCCTGGCATGTGCCCTGACTGGGAATGGAACCATGATCAGAAGTTCATGGGTTGACACTCAACCACAAAACCACACTGGCAGGGCTGGCTCCTATGTTCTTAATCATCAAAGTGACAGCCACAGCTGTGGGGTCTGCAAAGGCAAGATTTATAACTTAACCATTGAATCTCCAGAGCCAAGCACAGCCTGGCACAGGGTAAATGTTTACTGGAGAAGGCCATGGATGGATGGATGGATGGATGGATGGGTGGATGGATGGATGGATGGATGGAAGGATGGATGGATGGGTGGATAGGTGAATGGAAGGATAGATGGGTGGATGGAAGGATGGATGGAAGGAAGGAAGGAAGAAAAGAAGGAAGGAAGGAAGGAAGGAAGGAAGGAAGGAAGGAAGGAAGGAAGGAAGGATAGGTGGATGGAAGGACAGATGGATGAATAGATGGATGGAAAGCCACCTGCAGCCAAGAACTTGTATGTCCACTCTATGAGCTTGTGCCCATGTGCCATCTTCCATCACGTTTATTTAACTGCCCAGGATAGTTACATTGATTTTCTTCATCCCCATTATGGAGGCGCTCAAGATCCATTTTTTGAGTGATCCAGTAATCATTCCTGCAAGCCTCCCTAGGCTTATATGTTCTTACAGTAGCCAGAGCAAGCCTCACCTGAAGTCAGCTTTAATCTACTAGAGCAGCAGTTCACAACCCTTTTTGTCTCAATAAACTAATTACTAAAATTCTGTGGCACCCCCAGAAGATATATTTTTGCCAATTTGACCAAAAATATATATAATTTTGGTTCATTCACACTGGCTGGCTATTGTTCTGTTGGCCGTTGTCTTTTTTTTTTTTTTTTTTTTTTTTTTTTTTTTGACACTTAGGGAAAAGAGGCCAGTGCTCTGACTAAAATAGTCAGGTATTGCATGTTTTAAAAATTCTTGCAGCACAGGTTGATAATTGCTGCTATAGAAAGCAAATCTACAAAACGCATGTAAACACCTTTTTCCCATAGGAAATGGTTAACTGTTATGGGAGGAAATTTCCAGAAGGGGAGTAAGGGCAGAGGCATGGGGATCTGAGGGAGCCAGGGCACCGGGACGAGCTGGCGGTTCTGGTGAAGAGGGCAAAGGGCACGGGGAGCTGACGCTGCAGCTGCAGAGGCTTGTGGGAACCTGGGTCACTGCCGATGGCCCCAGCGCCGTGTCTCACCAACAAGCCCTCTTTCTCCAGGAAGGAAGAATCCACCAAGTACGTCAACTTTTCAACCTCCGATGAGAAGAGCAGGAAAGAAGCTGAGCATCGATATCGCGTGAGAGGCCAGGAAATATCCATGGCTGCCCTCCCGGGTGCTGCTAACATAGAAAGTTGATGGGGAAGATGGAGAGGAGCTGGGGTCTGGAGCCAGAACAGAAAGAAATGGGATTTGGGGTGCTCCAGGGCCCACCGGAATGTTGTCTCGGTTTCCTGCAGGTGACTAACCTGAGCCAGCGGGAGCTGGCCATCAGCGTGCACTTCTGGGTCCCCGTGCTGCTGCATGGCACAGCCGTGTGGGACGTGGCTGCCGTGGCCCCTTCACAGGTGCTGCCGGGCTCGCCTCCCTGGGCAGGGCGGTCCCCACAGCGCCCCGCACCCTCTCGCCCGGGACATTTTCCTCATCTACGGCTGTTTCTCTCTCACTAGGGTCTCTCTTGTGTGTCAGAGATGGAGCCTCCCCAGCAGCCTGACTTCCAGACTCAGAGTCCAGGGAGCTTTGTGCTGGTGAGGAAGGCCCTGGCCCCCCATCAGACCGCAGCTCATGGGGAACACAGGGAAACGCAGAGCGAGGTTGCAGAGCTATACACAGGCCCGTGATCGGCAAACTGCGTCTCGAGAGCCACATGCGGCTCTTTGGCCCCTTGAGTGTGGCTCTTCCACAAAATACCACCGCCTGGGCAAGTCTATTTTGAAGAAGTAGCGTTAGAAGAAGTTTAAGTTTAAAAAATTTGGCTCTCGGCCAAAACCGGTTTGGCTCAGTGGATAGAGCGTTGGCCTGTGGACTAAAAGGTCCCAGGTTCAATTCTGATCAAGGGCATGTACCTTGGTTGTGGGCACATCCCCAGTAGGGGTGTGCAAGAAGCAGCTGATCAATGATTCTCTCTTATCAACGTTTCTAACTCTCTATCCCTCTCTCTTCCTCTCTGTAAAAAATAAATAAAATACATTTTTTTTAAAAATTTTAATAAAAATTTGGCTCTCAAAAGAAATTTCAATTGTTGTCCTTTTGATATTTGGCTCTCTTGACTAATGAGTTTGCCAACCACTGATATAGGGTAACCCCAAAATGTATTAGGGCAGTGTTTATTAAAATACGGCTCATTTTCAAAATTGAACTATCAACTGTTAAAGTACATACACATTTCGAGGACAGCCTGTCTATGTCCTATGATTGTTAACCTGTCCCTCACCCCAAATCTGACACTTTCTCTCCTCTGTGGCTCCTAAGCTAAGGCCCTCCCTAACGTCATTGCTCTCCTGTCCCTAGGACTGCTCGGCGGCCGCCTGCCGGAGGTTCCGCTGTGACGTCCCCTCCTTCGGTGTCCAGGAGGAACTGGACTTCATCCTGAAGGGCAACCTCAGCTTCGGCTGGGTCAGCCAGGTGTGTGGGCCCAGGGCAGAGCCCCCCAACCCCCGCCCCCGGGGTCCCTGAATGTGTGTGCCGCCTCAGGGCAGCGCGGGCATCGCCCTGGTGCCAGCTCTCCCCGGAGCCAGCTGCCAGCTCCCTGCCCTTTGCAGACGCTGCAGAAGAAGGTGTCGGTGGTGAGCGTGGCGGAGGTCACGTTCGACACATCCGTGTTCGCCCAGCTCCCGGGCCAGGAGGCGCTTCTGAGAGCCCAGGTAGGACTGTGTGCGAGGCGCAGCCAGTGGTGAGGCCTCTGGCACTGAGTCCCTGTGCCTGTGGGGCTCACAGCCGGGGGGGGGGGGGGGGGTGAAGACCCCGGCTGGGACAGAGGTCCCTGACCCCTGAGGGCTTCTGAGCTCAGCCCAGGAGTCTGCCCTGGAGGCCGGGGCGGGGTAAGGGCTGGGGAGCCTGGGAGGAGCGGGGCAGCCAGAGCCCCGATGCTTCCTGACCGGTCCCCTCCTTCCAGGCGGAGGTGGTGCTGGAAAAGCAGGAGGTGCACAACCCCGTGCCCCTCATTGTGGGCAGCTCTGTGGGCGGACTGCTGCTGCTGGCTCTCATCACGCTCCTGCTGTACAAGGTGCGTGCCGCCTCCCACCCCTGGCGCCGCCCGCAGCCCACCCAGGCCTCCCACAGACAGGGCGGCCCAGCAGGAAGAGCCAGGCCATGGGCCAGGCCGGCCTGGGGGCTCATTTCAGCTCCTCTTACTGTTTAATGTCAGGCAGGTTGCCCTGGCTTTCTGGGTTTGTCTCTTATTTTGGGAATAATCATAATAATGCCTGCCTCACAGAGTGGCTACGGCAAGACAGAAATGAGCCCGACCACGGCATCTGTGCGTTCTCTGCTCCAGACTGTGTGTCTAACCGCTGGTCTTGAAATCAGGGGCCACTGCAAACGTGACAGCTGTGTCCACATATGTGTTCTGCGCACCACGCAGTCAGCTCAGTTCCTTCCCCCTCACTCCCAGCCTCCTCCCTGCCCTCTCACCCCATCTTCTCATCACTTCCCTCACAGCTGGGCTTCTTCAAACGGCGGTACAAAGAGATGATGGACGACCAGCCCGAAGACGCTGCCATGCTCAGCGGGGAGGCCCCCAGTGAGCCTCTGTCCCAGTGACCTGCTCCCCTGCTTATTGCTCCCCGTGGCTGGGCTTGCCGGCCCCGAACCTGCTTCCATGGAGTAATTCCCGCATAGGGCGGGCCGGCTGAGCGCCTCGCGGGTGCTGCCCGCCTCCAGCGGCCTTGCCACCCTCTTCAGTGGGACCCCCTTTACCGAAGCAGGCGGGGCCAGCATGGGCTTTCCTCTGTGTGAGCACTGCCGCATTAAATGATTGAAAACGCATTTCCCTGCTATGAGAGAGCTCTGGTCCGGCCCGGGGCTGTTCCAGGAAGCGCTGGGCGAACCCTCTGTGTAGAGAGAATGTTCTCTCTGCCTCAGGGCACAGGCCTGCCCGCCTCCTCTGGGTGGTGGTGTGAGCAGTGTCAGGGGAGGGGGGCACAGGGGAGGACAGAGGGGGCAGAGGGGGGTACTGGGTTTCAGCCCAGGCTCCTGCTCCTTGGCCATGGACAGTGAGCAGCCGGTCTCAGTGAATGCCATGCCCAGAGTCGGTTTCGACCCCCTCGATTGGGTTCCCGGAAGCCAGGAGAGCCAGGCTCCATGCAAACACAGAAGAGCCGAGGTCGGGATATCCCCACTCCTACCCACCCCCACCCCCAGAGCCAGGGCCTGAGCCTCTGCGGAGTGCAGACCCTGTTTGACAGCATGGCTGTTTCCAGGAACCGGGACTCCCTTCACCCTGAAAGCCCGAGGCCTGGAGCCTCATGAGTAACAGGAGAGCCGCCCCCACCCCGCCCGCCCCATCGGGCCTGGAGGGGAGCCCGCGCTCTGCGCTTGCGCAGGCCCCATCGCCCATCCCGCCAGTCCCTCGTCCTGTCCCTGTCCCCGTCCCCGTCCCCGTCCCCGTCCCATCCCCTGTCCCACGGGCGAAGCCAGGCTGCCACATCTTTATTGGGGGGCGCGGGGGCGGGGACGCGGGGCTAGGGCCGTTCGTAGCCAGTGGGCAGCGGGTTGACGTGGGGATTGTGGAATAGCGTGTGGTTGCCGTCCCCCCAGGAGAAGGGCTGCGGAGAGAGGGGGAGCGAGCGTCACCCCGCGCTGCCCCCGCACCCCCCCACACACACCCCTCTGCACCCCCACAACCCCCCGCACCCCCACTGCACCCCCACACCCCCACACCCCCCGCACACACACACGCTCCCCTCTGCACCCCCGCACCCCCGCACACCCCTCCGCACCCCCACAACCCCCCCGCACCCCCCTGCACCCCACACCCCCACGCCCCCCGCACACACACACACTCCCCTCTGCACCCCCGCACCCCCTTGCACACACACCCCTACCTTGGTGCGGATGCGCAGGTGGTGGTAGGGCACGAAGGGGGGGCGCTCGTGGTGGCCAGCGTGCAGCCAGCAGTTGAGGGAGCAGAGCGCCACGCCGGGCAGCGCCAGCACCAGCGTCAGCAGGCGCCACGTGCCGCCTGCGGGGGACAGCGGGCGGGAGAGGGGTGTTAGGTGCTGCCTGCGGGGGGGGGGGGGGGGGGGGGGACAGCGGGCCAGAGAGGGGGAGTCAGCGGAGGTGGAGGGGGGACAGCGGGCGGGAGAGGGGTGTTAGGTGCTGCCTGAGGGGGGACAGCGGGCCAGAGAGGGGGAGTCAGCGGGGGGTCAGCGGGCGAGAGAGGGGAGTCAGCGGAGGGGGAGGGGGGACAGGGGGCGGGAGAGGGGGAGTCAGCGGCGGGGAGGGACAGCGGGCAGGAGAGGGGGAGTCAGCGGGGGGAGGGGACGAGGGGGGGCGGGAGAGGGGGAGTCAGAGGGGGGACAGGGGGCGGGAGAGGGGAGTCAGCGGGGAAACAGGGGGCGGGAGAGGGGGAGTCAGCGGTGGGGGGGGGGGGACAGGGGGCGGGAGAGGGGGAGTCAGCGGCCGGGGCCGGGACCCTGGAGGCCCCGCACCCTGCAGGCTGGGCGGGCCGGGTACCAGGTGCAGCAGCCACAGCCCGGGCCCACTCACCTCCGGCCCCGCCGTGGCCGCCCTGGGCCGCACTGGCCAGCCCGCGGCTCCAGGTCCTCAGAGGCAGAGCCAGAGCCATCACGCTGCAGCTGGGTCCACAGGACTGTCTGTCCTTCCCTCTCCTTCACCGGCCTGGCTCCCTACCCCCTTCCCCCCTCCCCTGCCCCGCGCCGGGCCAATCACCTGTGGAGCCTGCAGCAGGGCGGCTATTTTTAGGGGTTTCTATATTTAAAATGAAGCCTGACCGGCCTGAGGTCCTCGGTCCAGACAGCTGCTGTGCTGTGCCTCTGGTTTTGGTGAGGGGCATTTGGTGAGGGGCATTTGGTGAGGGGCATTTGGTGAAGGGCATTCTGACACAGAAAGCCTTTCTCTTTATAGCTGCAGGCAGTAGTTTTGTTCGGTGCTCTATTCCCAGGGGCTGGCACCCAGTAGGCCATGAGTAAACATTTGCAGAATGAATTGTGTCCTTTTGAATATCAGTTTCCTAAATCTTTAAAATATATAATAATTTGTACTTTAAATTATATTTATGAAATTTAAATAAGGTAGCACAGGAGATACCAGCTTAGAATCAGGCACATAACAGCACCTCAATATATAGATATATTTGGAAAACCACGGGTAGCGAAACTATGGCTTATAGGTCAATTCTTCTAAAAAGTTTTGTAGACCTCTATATATGTATTAGTCACAGTTCTTTTTAAAAATATATTTTTCTATTGGTTTCAGAGAGGAGTGATAGAAACATCAATGATGAGAGAGAATCATTGATTGGCTGCCTCCTGCACACGGAGCCAAACTGGCGTGGGAATTCACAGTTCTTTGCAAAGAGCAGAACTCACTCTAGTTTCTAGAAGATACGCGGCTGTGACCCGTGGGCAGCTCACGGGACAGCCACAGAGGCCTAGCATCCGCGCAGCAGACACAGCCCTCCTGGGGCAGGGCCGGCAGACGCCACCCAGTCCATACCCACTGGACCCCGGGTGCCCAGCCGTCAGCAGTGCTGCCCAGGAGAGCCAGCTCCTTCTGCTCCCACCCTCTCCGGAGCGTGGAGCCTTCGGGAAGCTTGCTCTGTGACTGGCTGTCTTCTGGATCCAAGGCCTTCACATGGGCTCTGGTTTCAGGAAAGTCTGGGTAACTGAGTTCTGGCTTCTGCTTGGGGAGGCGGGAATTCTATCTGCTGAAAATGCCCACATATAGGAAGAGTATTCCAAAGATTCCCGACGGCCACAGCTTCGACCAGTGCCTCCTGCTAAGTGTGTTATTTCGATCTGGGAGGTCTGACTACTCCAAGGGAAACGGAGAGCCTCGCGGGCCCAGAGGACAAATGTCACTAGGAAGCTGCGGCCTCGGCAGGCTCTGCAGTCCGTGTCTACTGATGCGGCGTCCAGCAGGGGCCGCCCGCTTTGAGCCAGAGCGGGTGGACCTGACAGGAGCACACACAAGGAAAGGGGATCGTGTGGACCTAATCAAACCTGGAGGAGGAAAAGAGGAAGGCACATTTTCCCAGTGAGTTCTGTAGTGGCCTGGGAAGCAGTCAGATGTCAGGTAGCGTTAGGTTATTCCTGAGCCTCGCTGAGCCATAAGGAGTTCCTCCTGCAGTGTTCCCGCCTGGGCTTTGAGATTACTGCTGAGAAGAGGGGACCCAGTTTCAGTTAAAGTTACTTGGCTTCTCCCTCCTCACAGCTCCCTCCTACCCCCTCCCCACTTACGATAAGGCTCTTGGAGAAATAACGAGGGGCGGCCCTGGCCAGTGTGACTCCATGGATAGAGCATCGGCCTGAGGACTGAAGGTCCAGTCAAGGGTCAAGGGTCAAGGGCACAAACCTCATACCTCAGTTGCAGGCTAGAGCCCCAGCCCCAGTCCAGTGGGTATAGGAGGCAACCAATCAATGTGTCTGTCTCACATAGATATTTCTCTCTGTGTGTCTCTCTCCCACTCCCACTCTCTCTAAAAAACCAATGGAAAACAATATCCTTGGGTGAGGATGAATCAAGAATTATAAGAAATAAAAATTTAAAAAAAAATAAAGAGGGGTGTTTTTACCTGAAAAGGCTCTTGGTTCCCCCTCTCCACTGGGAGTTTTGCTGGTCATTGCCAAGCGGTTCCCTGGGGACCCCCAATCCTGTGGTCAGTCTGGAAGTTCCCACTGGGCTTTGCTGCTGGTGCTCAGTGACTGCCTGCTGGTCACCCCCTGAGTGCCCCGGCCTAAGGGTCAGGGATTTCTCTTTGGTCGCCTGTGCTTCCCAAGGCTGACCTCGGCTTTGTCCTCACTGCCTTTGTGTAAGTGCGGAGCTGCTCCTGCAGTGTTATACTCGACTTTGTTTTCCAAGTTGTCTCACCCACATCACTGGGGCTGCTGCCCATGCTTCCGGTTATCGGGGGTGTAGGTTTTGCTTCACTTCAGGCAGAGAGAGGAGCCAGCTTCCTACTTGTTCAGTAAACCCTGAGGGCAGCACCCCAGCCCCTTTCAAACATCCCTCAGCTGTTGGTGGTGACGGGGGTGGCGGGAAGCCTCCAGGTCAGCCTCTCTTGTGCCTCTTTCCGGAGGTGCTATGTATCATGAGCATGTTTTCCAACACAGAGAGCATCCCAACATGTAAGCTATTGAATGCACATTTTGTTTATGGCTCCAGGACAGCAAGTTTGACATTGGAATTATCCCAGAAAGACAGCTGAGTGGTGATTCAGGACACGGTTAGCTACAAAGGGAGCTGGCAATAGCAATCAGGGTGGAGCGCGGGTGGGCTAAGGACAACAGCATGGTGGGCTCTAAAGGGGCTGTTCGCTCCCTCTGCCCCTGGAAGGGACTAGATGCTTAGAGTCTAGTTGTTCTGTGACACCTGCCCAACACACCTGTGGCTTCCTCTCGTAATAACGCGTGCTGGATTTTCTCTGTGCAGTCTCCCACCCTCTCTCATTTTCAGTTCACAGCTCACATGGGGTTGACTCCCTCCTCCAGTTCTATTATAAAAGGGGTCCTGTGATCCGGGGCTAGCCAACCAGAACATTCTGCTCTGCTGGCCACAGTGGTAGGTTTGGGAGGGGCATATGCACGAAACCAATCATTGTCTCACTAATAGAAAGAGGCTGGTCAACCTTGAGCTCTGAAAGGTCAGAGCCAACCACTCTCTATCTAATTGAGACAATAGCAACTTCCCCATCTTGTAATCATGTAAATCCTTACTGGTATGATAATCCGCTTATTACCAGCCTAAGGGCTAGGGGTGTTTCCCAAAGCTGCTTAAGGGTACTGGGTGTATCCCATAGCAGCCTCAATAAAAGGGATAACAAGGCCAGAGCCTAGAGTCTTCCCACTAGAGGTTGACTCCCGCCTGGCCCCCCATTTGTCCCAAAGTAACTCTTTTCCAGTCTCTCTCTTCATTTTAGTGTGTGGCCTCCTCCAGAAACCGGACCCTGAGTGGGCCCTAATCACATGGGTCCTGTTAAGGGTTCCTACAGGCCAGAACCTTGGGATTCCATTTCGGGCTTCTCTGTTGGAATGTTGAGACAGTGCTTCAGCGGGACTTGGAGGTCCAGGAGCCTCAGACTGAAGTAAATTCTGAAGCCATTTTTCAGAGCACGCCGGAAAGATGGAGGGAGAGCTAGCCTTGTTAATATGATTTGAACCTGCGGGTCAAGATGTGCCAGAATTGAGAAAGATCTTTCACTTACATAAAATAGCAAAAAGCCAGTTTGAGATGGGGTTTTAAGTCTTCATTCATTGCTACCCATTTTCGGTGAAACTCAGCGAATCTCTAAACTTTACCAGCAAATTTCCAGTTTCTGTTCCCCTGTACTGGGGCCATGTTGAAACTTTTTTTGGAAACCTTTTTTGCCTCCTTTTGTGGCTATGACAGCTATAAATATCTTTAATAAACACTTTGGAGTATATATAGTTTTAAAGAATTAAACTTAATGGGCACTTAAAGTGAAGAGGTCTAGTATTTATTAAAATGAAGTTGAGCAATAAATTACATATGAATATATATTCCAACTTGCTAAAGATTAAATAGTTGAGTCTTTGTCCTATACTTTTATTTTCTTCTTCCATTTCATAATACTGTAATTATGCATCAAAATAAACCGATATGCTGCCTGGTCAGGGCAGCTCAGTGGTTGAGCATCAACTTATGAACCAGGACGTCATGGTTCGATTCCCAGTCAGGGCACATGCCTGGGTTGCAGGCTTGATCCCCAGTGTGCAGGAGGCGGCCGATCAATGATTCTCTCTGATCATTGATGTTTTTATCTCTCTACCTCTCCCTCTGCCTTTCTCTCTGAAATAAATTACATATATATAAAATAATAAATAAGCCTATATGCTGTGACCTGATTTCTCTGAAGACATACAGTATGTAGTGCTGGGGACACTGAATGCTTTAGCTGAGCTCGCACCTGGTCACAGGCCTCACCTGCTGTCACCCAGCCCAGGCTGTAACCAGCGTCTGAACTGCTGCTCCCACTTGAGACCTTCGTCTCACCTCCTGCGTGCTGTGCTCCCTGGGCCGGTGGTATGTAAAGAGGTCCTAATGGGTGGCTTGTTCACCTCAGGGATCCTCTAAACCAGTGTTTCGCCACCACAGTGCTGGTTTTTGAAAATACCAGAAGGCCTTTCTGCACTCTCACCGATGCTGCTGGGAATTGGATGAGACCATCCTGGCAATCTGGGGCAGCCCCATTACCACAAACAAATGGGGGACAAAATGCCCTGGGCCCCAGCGAGCAGCTGTGTCTCCTTTCTCTGTTGTCACCATAGAAACAGCCAGCGACTCGCTGGCAAGCAAAGTGACCAGAAAGACACAAATCAGGAGCTGTCACTTTCGTGGTCACTTTGGGTAACTTGCCAAGTGCGTCCACATTGTACCTTGGGAGGACAACAAAGATAAAGGAAACCTGAGTTAGCATAGAACACACACACAATACACGCAACATACACACACACAGCACATGCAACACACATATATAAAACACACACTCACACACACTTGAGCAACTGGGAAGGTTCCTGGATTCAACTAATGCTAAGTGCCCACTGTGAGTCAGGCACTGTGCCAAAGTCTCTGCTCTCACGGAGCTCAAGTTTTGGTGACAGAAAAGAGGGAAGGGCACTCTGGGCAGCTGGGGGAACTAAAAGAAG